GAGCCAATAATCAATTTTTAAATAGACCTATTTTAGAAAACATTTGGGCTTAATCAAGGCTTTCAGAAAGTATCCCATCACTGGACTCTTTCAGGCTGTAGGAGATGGGACCTTTTTTAGGATTCACTCTTACTGTAGCCAGTTCTCTTATCCTTTGAGAGTCCTAAGGAAGGAGAAGATGAACTTCTAATAAGCAAGCTGATTTCTGTCTATATTTACATGATAGCTTTTTTTTTTTTGAGACAGAGCCTCAAGCTGTCCCCCTGGGTAGCGTGCCGTGGCATCAAAGCTCACAGCAACCTCCAACTCCTGGGCTCAAGCGAGTCTCCTGCCTCCACCTCCCAAGTTGCTGGGACTACAGGCGCCCGCCACAATGCCCGGCTATTTTTTGGTTGCAGCCGTCGTTGTTTGGCGGGCCGGGGCTGGATTCAAACCCGCCGCCTTAGGTGTATGTGGCTGGCGCCTTAGCCCCTTGAGCCACATGTGCTGAGCCTACATGATAGGTTTTTAAAAAATGTTTTTTATGCCTTCTTCTGCTGGAGATTTCAAGTTTGGACTAAGGCTTTTGGCGAGCCATCTTATTGCTTCTAGCTTCTTGATATAAATAGTGCTGGGTTAGATTATGAGCTGGTATACCATTTGATGGTGACATGTGATAGTTCTAGTGGGGAGTTGAACGTGGGAATGTAGATGAACTTTCTAGTGCCCATGGAGCCTGTGTTTTTTTTCCCCCAACACTAATATGGAGCAGAGACTTTTTATATGGTAGTGTTTTACCAATGGAGTGATTTCAACTCAGGAGCATTCCTCCTTGGAAATAGATGTTGTTTTTAGCTGATCTACAGAGTAGAATTTTTTACAGCCCAGTTAACGTTTGACTTCAGAAATCATCTGTGGTTTATTTCCATTTCTTCCTATTTCATAGGACATTGAAATACTAAAATTCCCCAGCTTCTTGGAGAGGTGATAGTAATAAGCAATAAGTCCCAGTCTCAAGAATGGAAGAAAAATTATCCATTGTACTTAGCCTTAGTATGAAACCAATTTATAGCTTTCCTATGAAAGCTATAACCCAATTATAGCCCAAGAAGAAGGAGAAAGGGGGGAGGGCGGGAAGGGGGAGGATGATTGGAGGGAGGGTAATTGGTGGGACCACACCTATGGTGCATCTTATAAGGGTACATGTAAATTTTACTAAGTGTACAATATAAATGTCTTAACACAATAATTAAGAAAATGCCACGAAGGTTATGTTAACCAGTTTGATGAAAATATTTCGAATTGTATATAAAACCAGTACATTGTACTCCATGAGTGCAATAATGTACACAGCTATGATTTAATAAAAAATAATAAGTCCCAGCTACTCTGGATTCCCACATTATTTTATAGCTATTGTCAGCCTTTGAGTAAAGGCAGGGGTGGTAAATAATAAAAGACAACTTTTTGATGTTCTGCTAATGTAGTCCCAGAGATAGGAAAGCAACTATTAAAAAACAAAAAAAAGTTATTTCTAGAAACTCACAAAAAAACAAAAATTGCTACTAGAAACTGTAGAAAACACTAGTAATTACCATCTTGTAGATCAGTATTTTTCAACCTTTTTTATCTCATGGCACACTTGACCCTATAGTAAAATTTCTGTGGCACACTTAAATTATGTTGACTTAAAAAAAGAGTAAAAATAAAGAATATCCCTACTGTATTTTAAATTTCTTTCAAAACAATTTAATTAATGCTGTATAAAAATTTTTATGGTGCACCAGTTGAAGATTGCTGCTCTAGAGGGTAATTTACTTTGGAATGTGAGTGACATGAAAGTACCTTTGTTTTTCATTAGATTATATACAAATTGCATGCTTAAAGTACCAGAGGATTGGCTTGGCACCTGTGGCTCAAGTGGCTAAGGCGCCAGTCACATATACCTAAGGTGGCGGGTTCAAATCCAGCCCGGGCCCGCCAAACAACAATGATGGCTGCAACCAAAAAATAGCCAGGCGTTGTGGTGGGCGCCTGTGGTCCCAGCTACTTGGGAGGCAGAGGCAGGTGACTCGCTTGAGCCCAGGAGTTGGAGGTTACTATGAGCTGTGATGCCACGGTACTCTACCCAGGGGGACAGCTTGAGGCTCTATCTCAAAAATAAATAAATAAATAAAGTACCAGAGGATCTTTATTTATTTGTATTTTTAAGACTTTTTTGTAATTTTTTTTTTGAGACAGAGTCTCATTTTGTCACCCTTGGTAGAGTGCTATGGCGTCATAACTCACAGCAACCTCAAACTGTTGGGCTCAAGTGATTCTCTTGCCTTAGCTTCCCAAGTAGCTTGGGACTATAGGCACCCACCACAATGCCCAGCTATGTTTAGAGATGGGGGTCTCACTCTGGCTCAGGCTGGTCTTGAACCTGTGACTGCTCAGGCAGTCCACCCACCTCGGCTTCCCAAGTGCTGCGATTACAAGCATCAGCCACCGCACCTGGCCGGATCTATCTGTGGTTTAAATTAGAATCTTTTTAAGCTACAGAAGCTCTGTAGCCATAGTGCCAAGAAAGATTAGGACTACTGTGTGTCGTGTAGAGCTCTGAGCTAAAAGGACAGATGTCCCATCCCATCTGTATTTTTACCTTCATGCCACAAATATTCAAGGCTTCTGTTAATTCTGTAAAATAAGAACATATAGTGAAGTAAACCATCACTTAACTTTTTTTTCCTGGGCCCAAGATGAGCAGAATGCTTGTGGATGGCCAGGCAAGGCAGTAAAGTGGGTGACAAAACATGCTGTGAGGGAGTTTTGTGGTTTTAATATGTGAGCCAGCAAGATAAAACATTAAAGAACCTTCTAAAATATATGAGAAAATTGGCCAGGCACAGTGGCTCACATCTAATCCCAGCACTTGGGAGGCCATGGTAGGTGGATTGCCTGAGCTCACAGGTTCGAGACCAGCCTGAGTCAGAGCGAGACCCCCATATCTAAAAATAGCCAAGCATTGTGGCAGGTGCCTGTAGTCCC